AAATCCACATATTTTAAGCTTTATTCTACTACCGGAAGATTCCAAACAGAGTCATGCTGACTTCTTCACGCACCCCTTCTAATAGCACCAATACTATCAACTAATAATTGTGAGTAAAGGACCACAGTGGAGGTAACAGTCCTTCCCTTGCCAGCTGAAATCCTCAAACAGCACCAGGATATGAACTGTGTTCCATCGCAGACTGCTTTTTCAAAATATGCAACTAGTTGGATCTGCATCATATTCTAATGTTTATTTACTAATTTTATATTTATACTTTGAGATTTGTGTAGATGCTGAATAGTTCAGCAGGCTGAGTCTTGATGAGTACCAGCTGGGCCCGTCAAATTTACTTTGCATAAAAATCACCATAAAATATAACAGTTAGTGAAACAATTCATGACCTGGACAATTTTCTTTCTTTCCTAAGTTTTTCCCAAATGGAAGTAGAGCTGTGAGAGTGTACAGGCCTCAGTGCTTTCTGAGGAAATGTTTATATATTCTCTAAAAGAGTACAAGAGCTTATCAGGGAAATAAATGCTATCTCCAATTTCCAAACATTACTGAAAATCCACTGTTTAGGATTTAGGATCAGAGGTCAACCTTCAAAAGACAATTGGCCTCAAAAGTACAGATAGAACTTGATGGATTTAAAATGAAAACAGTATGACAGCAATAAAATTAAACTGGAAACAGTAAGAGTGAAGACTTCTGAAGTTTAAATCTCTGTGGCCATGTGGAGGTTCATCTTTCCCAAACCCTCTTCTCTTCCACATAGCGCAGACAGTGACCCGCTGTCTACTTCACAAGACCAAGTGTCCTGGTCCCCTCACAGGACCACTCTGGCTGGCTGTCAGACTAACTAGAATAAAACAGAAACTTCTCTGTCATCTTCTATTTGAGGGACTGTGAATTCCTCAGAAACCTGATAATTCCAGGACCTAAAAAGGGCTTCACACATAGTTTGCCGAGTAAATAGAAAGACAAGGTCTCTCAAGGGATTTAAAAACATATATTATACAGCTCCTTTCTTCAAGAAGCTTTTAAATGACTATGGGGGAGATAAGAAGAACATAAAAATAGTTCTGGTGTCAGTGTAACATGATCACCAAGTGCAGTGAGAGGATCAGAGTGGATCACTTGGAGGATGAGAATGTAACATTCCCTGATATAATCATTTATTAAATAAAAACCACCCACAGTGGTGTTTACAGAATCACCTAGTATGCACCGAGAGCACTGTTAGGTGAGAAAAATCAAAATAACCACAACACACTTAGTCTACGCCCCCACCCGCTCGTGGAGGCACTGCCCAGTAACTCCACCGAGACCTGGACACTGAACCTTCAGGGACCCCACAGCCTCTCCTGGCGCAGCGTCAACACCTACCAAAGGAACCCAAGCTTAACCCCCATTAACTCAACCAGATGTAAAGGGCGAGTGTACGCGAAGTGCCCTGCAAATTACAGCTGCTCTGCGGTCGTGATATCAATCATAGTTTAAATAAAATGTGTCACGCAGTCTCTATTTTTTTAAGCACTCTGCCTTCTAAGCAGCAAGCAAACAGTAGATAAACACTAAATGAGACAAAAACTAGCTTCTCTAATAGTGCAGAGTCAGCATTAAAAAAAAATAAACACAGGGGAGCAGTGTAAAAGCTGACCATTTTAAAAGCAGGTATGATTCTGTATTTAAATAACCCTTTATTTATTTGTTTAAAAGTTTGCATTTTTGTATATCTTTCTCTAGGCAGAATATGCCTTTACACAATTTTCTGCCCCATAAGGTAGATCATTTCCATACGAGGCTGGTTTTTCAGTGTTTAAAAAAGTAAATATTTACTGAGTATTTACAATGTACAAGGTATTGTGCAAATTATTTATCATAGCACAGCTTTCCTTAACTTCATTTTCTTTTACTAAACTGACACAAAGTGAAGTAATTTGGGCAGGCTCATCTCATTTTCAACAAACTATTCTCCAAGATCCTTCTAGCTATCACACTTCCTGTTTCTGGGTTCACACATGGAAATGCAAACACTCCCTAAAAAAACCTCCCCACAAAAACTGTCTTCCTCAAGACATTTTCAATGAAAGGGGTTGGAAGCAGAATAAAGTCTAGTTGAGAAAAACACAGAATTTTTTCTTAAAGTAATAAGAAGACAGTGAGGGAAAAGACACAGGATGTTTCAGAGAACCACCACTACTTTAATCTGTAGCCACATAAATGAAATCAAGACATCTAAGTGGCTTTCTACATCTCAAAGCAGATTGGGCAGTGCTTTCTCCTGTCACTCATGCAAGCTCAGCACTACATTTTGCCTTTAAACAGTCTGCAGGGGCCAGGCTACAGAATCTCACTGAATATGAAGGGGGCCCGTAATCAGATACATTCTTGTGATGAACTCTCTGGAAAAGGAGGTAGAAAGGGTCTTACCAGACCCCAGCCCCTGGTGGCAGAATTAAAGGTTCTTTTCACTGCGCTTTCACTGCCAACTGCCTGCATCCTTGTTCCCTACTGATGCATCCTGCGATGCGGTCACTTCTTGGCCTGTTCCCACCACTGGACGGTGAGCCCCAAGGGGACGTTTCATTCACATTCTCAGTGGCAGCAGCAGTCTAGCCCTGCACAGGGTCTCTTTCAAAATCATCTTCCTATAAGAACAAGGTTTTCTTCCAGCATAACTGAGTACTGTTTCAATCATACATTGCTATTCTTAATAATCATTTAATTCCTGAGTATATGTATCAAGTAGTTTAAAGGATTATTTGGTTAACTAGTATAGAGAACAGATTCGGGAGATATGAAGCAATGCATTCAAATATTTATAAAATTTAAAAGAAAACTATTCATGTCATGCCAGAGTGAAAGTGAAAAGTCCCTCAGTTGTGTCCGAGTCTTTGAGACCCCATGGACTGTATCCATGGAATTCTCCAGGCCAGAATACTGGAGTGGGTAGCTATCCCTTCTCCAGGGGATCTTCCCAACCCAGGGATTGAAACCAGGACTCCCACATTGCAGGTGGATTCTTTACCAGCTGAGCCACCAGTAAAACAGTCTGCAGTTTCTTTCATTTTCTAAGTATGCTCAATTTTGTATTTAACAGACATCATATATGTTTTTTAACTTTTTATTTTATACTGGAGTATAATTGATTAACAATGTTGACATCATGTAATTTGGCATCATGTTATTACCCATCATTATACAGCAAGTTGAAATTTGCATCTTGCCTTAAGCACAACTCAGTCACACTTAAAAGTTTCAAACATCTCAAATTATTTTCAAATGTGTAAGGCGTATAATAAATGAAATATCTTTATAAAAGCAAGGACATGGAAGCAACCTAGATGCCCATCAACAGATGAATGGATAAGGAAGCTATGGTACATATACACCATGGAATATTACTCAGCCATTAAAAAGAATTCATTTGAATCAGTTCTAATGAGATGGATGAAACAGGAGCCCATTATACAGAGTGAAGAAAGCCAGAAAGATAAAGACCAATATAGTATACTAACACATATATATGGAATTTAGAAAGATGGTAACGATAACCCTATATGCAAAATAGAAAAAGAGACACAAATGTACAGAACAGAATTTTGGACTCTGTGGGAGAAGGCGAGGGTGGGATGTTTCGAGAGAACAGCATCGAAACATGTATATTATCTAGGGTGAAACAGATCACCAGCCCAGGCTGGATGCATGAGACAAGTGCTCGGGCCTGGTGCACTGGGAAGACCCAGAGGGATTGGGTAGAGAGGGAGGTGGGAGGGGGGATCGGGATGGGGAATACATGTAAATCCATGGCTGATTCATGTCAATGTATGACAAAACCCACTGCAATGTTGTGAAGTAATTAGCCTCCAACTAATAAAAATAAATGAAAAAAAAAATAATAAATGAAATATGCCACGTCAAGCTTTATTCTTACTATTAGTGCTATGAACCTTTTGAAAAAAATATGCCTGTCTCTGATATATGTATATTTCTCTCTCTTTCTCCTTTTTCCCCTTCCCTTTCAATCCACACATACAGGCACACACATTCATACATACCTGTGGACATGTACTTTAAAGACCATTCTGTGCTTCAATATCCAAAGCTCTCTTTCTTAAAAAATTAACCTCTTTCTTCTTGTAAAAATTATGTCAGAAAGATAAAGAAACTTCCTTATGTAGAGTAAGGAAACGTGGCCTCAAGCACAATGCTCAGTAGCATGGGTCTAACAGCGTGATATTTTACTAATGGTCATTTCTGAACTTTAAGTGTAGCATTTTTGTCACACTAAAAATTTTCAGAAAAGCAGTACACACGTTTGCTTATACAAAAGTTCTCCATAAATTAAAATTATATACAAATTTTAATTTCTACTATAAAAACAACATTCATAGAAATGAGAAGTCATAATCAGCCAAATATAAATTCATCTAAATCCAAAATTAAAACACTACAATATCCAAAGTCAATATATTAATACAGATTCAACTCGGGGAAATTCATTTGACTTCACATGTTTTTTTTGAGCCCACCTTCCATTCTTCATAAATATAACCATATCCTAAGTTTATAAGTATAAGCGAAACATCTAATGCAACTCAATTTTCCTACTGTGCACGTATAAAAATTGTTTGAATAATTTATTTTGCAAAATGTGATAATAATATAAATATATTTGGAATTTTTTTATAACCCATAATAATAGTTACATAAAATCAAGTCTAATACTAACTTCCAGATTTTTCAATGTGGTCATATCTAAACAAATTTTCAATTTTTTGACAAAAGATCATTTTTTTTAAAGATCATTCTTTTGTATTTATTTCTTCTCATTCTAACTTATTTTTTATCTTTTTAAATGGAATACAATTTTTACAGAATTAATGTACTAATATTTGTCTCTTTACTTTTAGCATTTTTTGGTAAGTGACAAACACCTTTTTGTCACTATGAAACAGAAAAAAATCCAACACTCAATCTGAACGAGGTCTTACCTTCTGATTTCTTGTTTTTCCGCTTCAGCCATTTTTCTACAGTCTCTGCACTAACGCTTTCAGACACAAATTCATCTAATACCTGAGGGTGGAGAGAAAGATAGGCCTTCACTTTTTCATCTGTCAAATCTGTAAAAGAATTGAACAGAATAAAATTAACCAATGTGACATCTGTGTTTACATCAAAGATATGGAAAAATGACACATTATACAGATAGATTTAGCACATAGATATTTTTAAAAATATACATACATACAATGGACTATGATTCAACCATAAGTAGGAATGAAGTTCAGTTACAACATGGAAAAAACTTAAGAACAGTATGGTAAATAAAATCAGGTAGACACAAAGGGCAAATACTATATGATTCCACTTATGGGAAACCTCTGGACCGGGTAAATTCAGAGAGACAAAGCAAAGTAGTGGCTTCCAGGAGCCGAGGAAAAGGAGAATGAGGAGTTATGTGCTTTGCGGGTACAGAGTTTCTGGTTTGGGAAGCAGACAGGCGTGATGGCTGCACACCCTGTGAGTATCATTAATGCCACTGATCATATACTTGATATGCTTAAAATGGCAAATTCTGTGTTTTTTACGTTTTACCACTTTGAAAAAGTAGAAAAAAAGTTAGAACTTCAGAAATTTTAAACTATAGATATTTCATCATGTTACACAGCTGTTTTCCGACAGTAAATTTCAGTGTTATATTTGAATCAATGCTGTATTCTAGTGTTGTGTGGTTAAGCCTTACAAAGTACTTCTACTTTACGTAAGTAATTATCATACATTTAACACAACAAAAGTGAAAACTCTAGTAAGAGGATCAAACAGGAGAGTAAAGTACTAATAGATTTTGGGTGCTAAAAACATGTTTAATGAATAAGTTCTTATCTTTTACTGTTTATAACACAAATTCTCCTTTTTCTCAGGGCCACTAAATCCAATGATACAACTGATGTCCAGTCTAAAATAATCTCAACATTTTTTCATTGGTATTCAATATGTATAGCCCATTTCACAAAAATAATCTTCAAAGTCTAATAATAACTGTTGAATAGACACAGAATTTTCAAGGAACTTTCGCAGATCTTCACTTAAAAAATATAAAATCATACGTTGTCAAACTTTTGCTTCAGGCTGGTATGCCATTTCACTAAAGTACTCAAAATCACAGGCTATCAGTAGTTATTACTCAGTGATTTTAATTATTTAAAATAATTATTCAGAGTACTACTGAATACTCTGTGAATTATTCAATAAATTACCATCCTTAGGGACGGTTAGGTGGGAAAGGCAATGGAAATTCGTACTATTAGATGCAGAAAAGAAAAAACGAAGCATATCGTTGTGACTTCAGAGAACAGGCTGTATGCTTGCAGCACCAGGCAAGGCACAGAACTCGTATGTATTGATTAATTCTGCTGGGGACTAAAGTCACAACTGCAGGATTCCACAACAGAATGGTATCACTGAGAAAGTAAATGATTTATTTCAATAAATTCAATTCAATTATTAGTTAAGCACTCGATTTAAATGATATAGATCTCATATATAATTACGCAGTTGAATTAGATTAATAAAGAAACAAGACCCAGTCCATGTTCGCCCTGAAAAGAACTTCAGGGATGTAAAATCCAATTTGAGAAATTCTATCAGGTACTGAAAGATATGAGACTCATTAAAGTAAGAGAGTGCTCTCTTGACAAAGCAAGTTAGTCTCCAGATACAAAAGGCACAGAATACAAGTAAGCTGAGAGCTGATCTGACCTCAAGAAAACAAAGTTATGTTCACACTCTGATTATGCCTATGATAGTGGAACAAGTTCAACATTTGATTCCTTCTTAAAGCTTCCTTGTATCACTTTTGTGACATAGTATGGTTCCTATCCTAACTTTCTATTTGCTCTTCACCTCCGCTTTCTCTACAGTAATCTACGATGATGACAGCAAAATCTGAATCAAGAATCTTAGTATATTTTTGATCTGTAGTTTGGAAATTCTTCCATCACCTCAGGCTCCACCTTGACTCAAAGCTATGTGAGTCATCTCCTTCCCACTTATTCCCAAACTGGGTTTAACTCTTTTCCCTGTTACTACTAGTCTCCATTCTTCCAGAAACCCAGGTTGAAAACGTAAAGTCTAATTGACTCAATGTCACCTCATTTCATCTTAGTGCATATTATACGTACAAGTCCTATTTGCCAAATTACATACCAGATAAATGAACTCTATCTGAGATATACAAAGAAAGCTTAAAACGCAACAAGAAAAAAAAAACACAATTAAAAACGAGTCAAAGAGCTGACACTTTGCCAAAAGAAGATACAGATATGGCAAATAAGAATATGAAAAGATGATCATTTGTCACTAGTGAGTTAAACAAAAATCAGATTCCACTACCTAATAGAATGGTTACAATCCAAAAAACTGACGAATACAAATAATACAGAGAGAAACATCACCTCATTTACTACTTGGTTAGCTCATTGCCATGAGACAGGATAAATGGTTAATTTGTTCCCTTTACTGACCAGTTTTACAATGAGCTGGTTCAGCAGCATTCTCCTGGAGGTGAAGAACTAGAAACTTTACTACTGTGAACCCATGCATGCGCGCTCAGTCATCAGTCGTGTCCAATCGACTCTTTGCGATCCCATGGACTGTCGCCCACTAGGCTCCTCTGTCCATGGGATTTCCAGGCAAGAATACTGGAGGAGGTTGCCATGCCCTTCTCCAGGGGATCTTCCCAACCCAGGGATGGAACCCACATCCTCTTGTCTCTCCTGCTTTGCAGGTATATGCTTTGCCACTGAGCCACCAGGGAAGCCCAGATATCTCACTAGAAATGTACAGGCTACTGCATTCTAGAGTCACGTGGAATGTTCTTCTCTGATTATTGTATCACTGACTCAATACACATTTAGGTTCAGATGTATCTGTAAACGTGTCTTTATGACAAACTGTTATTCTAAAAGTGGGTAGTTACATGCTGAAGAATTTTTAAGTTCTGGAATCTTGCCACTTTAAGATTCATTGAAACTAGAAAATCACCTTCAAATCATAGGCTGAAGGACTATTGCTTTTCTCAGAGGGAAACTTTTAAATTAATTACAAGTACTGAAGCATCTATTGTTAGAAATAGGAAAAAACCCCACAATTTTTCAAGTATTAACTCTGCTATCTTAATTTGCAGATAAACTTTCTATTATATGTCTATATTCTTTTTGCAAAAGCAGTGAAAACCATATGGCAGGAGCCCAGCACCCTCCCACCACCCACCCCTGTTCCTGAGCTGTGGATCCTTAGCTCCCATTCCACAGTGCCCTTATCTTACCCAGCTCAAGTCATCTCTCTCTTAAAAGGATTCTTTCCCGAGAGAAGGTGCCTTACCATCAAGTCTTCTCCTGCCCCATTATCCAACTCAATAGTCAGTTGAGTAGCTACTCTCAACTGGGTAGAAGAAACCATATATTTCAAAATTCTAAAGTATACATCACTAATAATCTTTTCTCTGACTCATCACAATAACTGTCTCAATCTCGTATTTTCCTATATGCTTACTCCAGGTGTGAAGAATAAGTAAATAATTTTCAGCTTCTTAAAGTCTTCATTCAACTGTTAGATAGCTTCGGATTAAAACAACCAACCAGGAAAAAAAAAAAAAAAACTTCTCATGCTACTAAACATTGCACTGCTGCTGCTGCTGCTGAGTCGCTTCAGTCGTGTCCGACTCTGTGGGACCCCATAGACGGCAGCCCACCAGGCTCCGCTGTCCCTGGGATGCTCCAGGCAAGAACTCTGGAGTGGGCTGCCATTTCCTTCTCCAATGCATGAAAGTGAAAAGTGAAAGTGAAGTCGCTCAGTCGTGTCCGACTCTTTGCAACTCCATGGACTGCAGCCTACCAGGCTCCTCCATCCATAGGATTTTCCAGGCGAGAGTACTGGAGTGGGCTGCCATTGCCTTCTCCAAACATTGCACTGTAATCATTCAATTGTCAAAGAACAACCTGAGCTGAGAGGGGGCTGAAACGCGCATCACCATGAGGAGTCTGCAAAGGAGGACAAATGGTTAGCTGAGAGAAGACACAATTCTCGGTGGACATTCTTAACGCTTAATCTGAACGATGTCAAGCAAAAAAGGCAAAGAATTTTGCATTGGCTTCTTTTTTTTCCGTTTTCTTTTTTTTCCAGGTGACCAAACTAGAATCAACATTTTAGGAAGCCAAACTATACTGCAACTTCAGGTAGAAATTTTTAGGGAAGAAAAAACCCTGTGACGGGGTGTGGGGGTTCGGCCGAGGGAACCCAGGGGACTCCCCGTCAGTCTGAGAGGCCACCGCACTCTCACACTGCCCGGGAGAGAGGGCCAGACAGTCTACTGTCAACAGACACCTGATCTGCTCCAAAAGACGATGCGTGGGCTCCCCTGGCGGTCCAGCGGTTGAGGGTGCAGCTTCCAGCGCACAGGACACGGGGTGGATCCAGGTCTGAGAAGACGCCGCGCGCCGCAGAGCAACCGAGTCTGTGGGCCGCAACTACCCGGCCGCGCGCGGCGGGCCCGTGCCCCAACGAGAGAGTCCGCGCAGCTGCTAGGGTCGACCACAGGCAGACAAAAGACCATGGAAAACATGTGTTTCAAGAAGCAAACTTTCTAAGTGTCTGGGAACAACGTCTGTCAGGTTAAAAGGAAACACGGTAGCTCACGTCATGCTAAGCAGCGGTGGGCGGTCACACTGCTCAACGGCAAGGCTTTGCTAGAAGCTGTGTGTGCGTGTGTTCACACAAGTTGCAGGTGGTCATTCTCCTGGGCTGCATATACGTGTTCCTGTGCACAACCTTCTTTATTTAGCCAAAATCAAGCGCAGAGTAGCAGGGGAATGAGCTTAAAGTCGGGCAAGCGTGCCTTCTGAACCCCACACTCAGCTTTGCACACCTTCCTCCTCCTGAGTATCTCTCTGTCTCTGTCTCTCTCTCTCCCATCTCTACTCCAACCACCTCATCTCCTTCCTTAACAGAAGGATACAACAGCTAGAGCATCAGTTGGTCACTGTCCGCCCCTCCCCACAACACTTCTCAGTATATGATTCCAGGCTACCTACCGGGTGATGTGTATTATAAAAGTTGGCTT